CCAGAATGAAGCTTCTGAAAACTGTTCTGAAATGAAATTTGGCTCTGGGACTGAAATAGTTTCTGCATCCATGACATGCATTTTATGAGCTCAGTAATGCTCCCAGTCCTGGCTATGCACCTAACAAAGAAAAAGCTTTAAATATGATCTTCAAGTGAGCAGTGCAGTCCCTAATAAAACATTTTCCACTCATCAGTTAATATAGTAAACCGCATACTTGGTCAGCAAAGTTTGGCAACTGCAGGCTAGATGTGGCCGGCATTGTATTGGCCTGAAAGAAGGATGGCAAGAAAATGCGCTGGCCGTACCTGCTGCTAATACATAGTTAAAGCAAATCCTTATTTTGCTTTCCCAAAGAAGATCAGCAGTATACATGTAAGCTGGGGAGAGAAATTTATTTATTGAAGACTGGTTCACCTTTTCCATTTCTTGCTCATACAAATTGCCCAACCATCTTCCAAAAGGAAATGTATTTTCACAGAAAGTTGAAACCTCCTCAAAATATGAGATTCTAGAAGGTCAAACAAGTTCATTGACCATGCATCTTCTGATATTTGTCCTCAGTTTGCCAGTACAGACAATCTCCTATCTATTATCTAAATCTATTTTATTATGAACTAATAATAACCTTTGTATTAATATGAATAAGGATCTAATTTCTACGGATGCTTTCAAAAGAGAGGTGGTAGCCCTACTGAATATGCCTTGAGGGCAGGGATCTGTCTGTCTTTTGAAAGAACATGGCTACCTGCCCTGAAATCCTAATACAGGATGGGTAAAGTCCAAATAGAGTAATTTGAATTATTTACAGATCATGCTTTGTTGCCACTCATTCTGAAAAATAGGCTTTTCCTTAAAAAAATGAACTCCACAGTAATGCAAACTATATTACACTTACAAATCTATAATTTGGAGCTAATCCTATTAGAATAATTTATTTCAATAATACAAAAATAGCATAGCAGAATGAAAACAGCAGGTTGTCCACCTATAGAACAAATTGTAGCTACAATTGCATAGCGTGGAAATAACTACAGCCAGACAGTTTGAAATATAAATCCTCTTAAATGGAAACCTTCCAAATAAAAAGGGCCTGTGTTATACTTTGTACTCTTAGGGCTATATATGGGTCAGATACTGTTGGTTTATATCTTTTTATGCACACCCCCAACATAGAGACAATCAAATTTGTTTTGTCCATGAGAAGATTTTATCAGTAAAGCAGTCTTGTCTGTCTGTCTGGGATGTTTCACACAGAATACCCATGGAAATGATGACATGAAGATGCCCTTTCATGATTTCCCCGAGCTTCCGCACCTGAGCCAGCCACAGTCTGATGAAGGCTTTAGAAATGCCCATGAATGGAAATGACATGCAAGTGCCTTTTGGAAGCTTAAAATGAATCTCCGCATGGAAAGGTGCCCAGGCTCGCTTGCCCCACCCATAGTGCTCCTGGCCCTGCTGCACAGTGGGGAAGTTGCTTTGAACCTCTGTGAGAAGGTCAGGAGAAGGTTTATCAAAATGCATTTAGCTGAACATTTTCAGAAGTCTCCAGGTTTCTGAGTACACACTGCTGAATGCATGCAGAAGCCTCCTTAAGGCCTTTCAGTGGGATGTACAAGGCCTGAAGCTCCCTCTCACTAGGATGGGGATGCTGAATGCCTGTTTGAACACCTGAACATAACTCTGGCTTTTCTTGGTATTCACAGAACAATCCAGTGGGTGGCTGTGAGAGGAGTCTTGCATCCTAAATTAGTCAGAAATCAGAGAGCAGATTAATCAAGCCAGCCTTCTCAAAATACCCATCCATCTTGTACCTTCCTCCTCCTCAAGCTGATGAAGGTGTGGATTTCAGTTCATACCAGCCCCAGCCAGCATGGCCAGGAATGGGAGGAATTACAGCAAAAGCATCTAGAGGGCACACAGCTAAGGAAAGTATATCCGTCTTGCACACACTAGCTCCGAGGTACAAGAGGCCATTGGTGCATGTCCCATAGAGCAAGCTAGCATTTCTTCCCCACAGGTAACTCCAGCACTGACTTGAGCACCGACCTAAGCCATGGGGAAGAAGGACCACGAGAGGAGTGAGCGAGATGGCATGAGAATACTAGCCTGACATTGCACAGGATGCCCAACGGACTGTGAGCTGCTGTCCATTTGATAAGGTGATGGCAAAGGATGGCTGAGCTCATGGATGCACCTGTACCTTCAGAGGGATAAATGTGCTTGGTGTTTATTCATCTGAGCAGCTATTTGGGTAACGCCAGGAAACTTGCAGGAGCAAGAAAGTAGTTTTCCTAAGTAAATTAGTGGATAATTAATAGTTCTTAGCTGTGGAAAACATGCATTTTCTTACCTTGCATGTATCAAAGGGTAGGAATAAGGGATAAATGAATTTGGTTTGCAAGTAAATTCTAACTTACCTCATTTGTACTTTCAAACTAATATGCAAATTGAAACCCTAACCATCTGAAATTTTCAGTTCTGCAAAGTCTGCAATGGAATTTTGAAAACAAAAGAAAGCTACATGTGATAATGTGTATATGCACACAAATATTTATATTAATTAAATTAAAATTAAATGCTTTAAATCAGCAAACATGCATACAAGAATTCATGTATTAGGAGAAACGTGCACATGTTCCCAATGTTTGGGGCAACCCAAATTAGGATTGGAAAAGTTCTCATAGTTTGGGACAAACTGAAGACTAGATCAATTAGAAACTGACCACTTTGCCCTTCCTTAGCTGTGAATCAACGTCCTTTCTGGCTCCATTATTGGAAAAAATATTCAACTTCCAAATATTTCAAAAAATATTGGAAAATATTTAAATTCTAGTAGAAGCTAATGGGCAACATAAAGAAAAGCTCCAACTTAAGGAAAGAACACATAGCAATATATTTATTCCAGCCAATAGAAACACACCAAATATGCTGAAGAACTGTTCAGCTCTTTCTGGAACTAGTTTATTGCTATGCTAAGCACTTCGTTTTAATGACGTTAACTAAGCTTTCAGAAACTATTGTTCAGCCATCTTCCTTCCTTAAATCTAGCAAATTATACTCTTTTAAGAGTTGAACGGAAAAGTCAATCACCTGCTTAGCTGTCTCCCAACAAAATTACCAGGCCATCCAAAGCTTTGGCTGGATCATGGCCAAGTTGAGTTTGCTGTCCCTGCACATTTTATATTCATCTGTATTGTAAATGCTAAACTTCGAAAGCCACGTTGCAAAAATGCTGCCTATTATTGCTTTAGATTCTCCAAAGTTATGCTGTAAAGGTGGAAAAAAAACCTCATGCTATTCACAAACTGGGAGGTTTGAAGTCGCACAGAATTTCCTTCCTCACTCAACCCCCATCCAAAAGAGATGAATTATAATCCATGAAAACAGAGCTTTACCATGGAAATTGGGAAAGGCCTGAAAAAGGTCAAAGAGTTCAGGTGCTGCTATCGTCCGTACTATACACATAAATGTTTAAATGAGTGGAATGGAGGATGTACTCCTCATAATGCTGCAATTTTACAGTATTTTCGGACTGACATGCCATGAACAAATATTCAGAAACAGCACCTTAAAATGAATGAAAGAAGACGACGGCAAAAAAAAAAAAAAAAAAAATCCACCAAATGGCGTTACGTATATAAAATACTACTGCAATAGTTCTTTTATTAATTTTTAATGCGCAGCCCCCTCTGTGACCTCTTTTATTCTTTGGCTGTCAACATGGCAGCCAGGAAAAAAATTGAAATGGGATAATAAAGCGTAGGAAGTACTTAAACCCCAAGAGTATGCAAGAGTGCTCCCTCTTCCTCTCCTGTCAGTCTGCGTCTCTGCTCCCCCCCCCCGCCCACCCCATATGGATTAAGCCGAATATGCTTTAGTTTCACAGTAAGCCAATGCCTTTCTTTCCATTTTTATATTTACTTTAAATACTACCTATTAAACACAAAGAGTGTTTATCTGTGTGAGGCTATGGACCAATTTACTGCTGTAAATAGTTTCCATACATTTATAAATCAATTAGGACAAAAACCCCGCACACGCAGCAAGCTCATCACCCCAGGACAGCCTTCCTGGTTTTGACACACAATAACACTACATGAAAGGAGGCTGTTTCCTTTTGTCTGTCTGGCCTCCTCCAAATATATTTGGCCTGATTCAGCTGCGTTTTGCTTGAACAGTGGGACATCATTATGCCATGAATATTTACCACTGTTTATATCTCCAAGGAGACTAATCTCCATACCACTACAGTCCAGAAGCTCACGGCATTGTCTCTGCAGGACCATGCTCATGTTGTCACAGCAACTGAGGGCACGGGGTCAAACAGATTAATCCATCAGTGAAAATAAAGCACTGCAATAGTGTACCCCAACTCCACACCCTCCCCCCCCCGCGACACACACACAGTTGCAAGCACACATCACCAACAGAAGCTTTCAAATAACATCCCCTTCCTGAATGCGTCATATAAAGTGCATGGATGTGTATCTCACAAAGGAGTGAAAAAGAAAAATATTCCGTTGGTGAGTGTGGTGTAGTATCTCAGAGGAAACCACTTACGGAAATCTGGTAAATCAGTAGATTATAGGAGAGAGGGAGATGCCAATTGTAGCCCGCAAAAAACCCACACATTGCACTGGGAATGTTTGTATTTTCCTTTTGCGATGCCCTTTGATTAGCCTCTGTCTAACATGTGGCCTGACAACTGTGACAGCATGAAAAATCCCAGCAAAACTGCGGGTCATGAGAGAAAAGAGATTTCCCCCTTCCTCAGGGGTGACCCCATCACTGCATTTCGTTGCAGTGTTTCACCATTAAGGAAAGGGCAACCCAAGAGTGTTCACACTCAATCTGTTCCATCTGTCATGACTATTAGGAAACCCCGGCCAGCAGCAAGCTGAAAAGCACAGCGAATGCAGAGGCATTGTAAGCCCCTCCTGATACTTCGCAGGCCTCAGTGGAGACATCTTTTCCGGAGAAAGGGCAAAACCTACCTGATACACCACCATATGTGGTCTTGTTACCCAGTCCAACGGAAGGCCAAGGTGTGCCATCTGCTCTCAGTCCCATCAGCCCTGACACAGTGTTGGTGGCTGTAACGCCATCTGCACCACCTGAGAACCAATTTAACGATCACTTTAATAAGCATGTTAACAGACCCTGTTCCGTGGCAGGAAGACCGTTCGAACGACAGGCCTGACGATTCTTACAGCCACGAAAATAAAAACTCTCAACCGATTCATTGGCATTGTGGCATTATTTTTTAATATTGTTATACTCAATATTTATAGAGCACATTTCAAATATTCAGGTACTTCGCACTCAGACTGCATTGCGAAAGGAGGTACATCTGTCAGAAGCTGTGACTGGCTCGGCTCCTGTGGACATGCACACTTGATGACAAATCTATGTTCGCCTCTATATAATTAATGTCTGAAAGAGTCAAAAGAAGCAGGGCGATGCATCTGGGGAACCCCCTATGTTTTGGCCTTTGTTGCCATGCTGAGCATAGACAGAAGGCTGGCTCTAAGATAACAAAGTAAGTTCTCCGCAAGAGGGATGCGTAAGAATTTTGCAGACTCTTCAGTGTGGAGTGCCCACACTCTCTCCTGCAAAACTCAAGTTTGACAGTGGGCTTCAAATGTCAAACGTCTTGGCTTAGCAAGCCATAAAAAGCATTGGAAGGAAATTTGAGGAAAGAGTTTTGACAAGCTGAACTTCTGGAATAGGCTCAGAATGAATCGTAGCCAGCCATCCACTCCTTGAGCTCGCATGGTTTTAGGTATGAGTGGGCTAGCCACACTTTCAGGGGACGAAGGCCTGATGAGGGTCCACATGCAGAATGTGATGCATTAAATTGTGTTTTTAACATTTATATGGAAACCTCTTAGGGATCTTCTTAGGATTTAGCAGTACAGAAATAGTACAAACAAATACAATAAAGGAGTGAAATGCTGAGGTGACAATCTATGGATTTTATCTAGGCAATTGCCTGCATGACTTGCCTTTTTGCAAGGCATTCAAATATCTCCAAATAATATTTTGCATTTCCATATCTACTTCTGGCCCAAATGTTACCCAGCTATTTGTGTAGTAGGTGATGGGGCATCCTCTCTTTACTACACAAGGGATATCTAGCCAGTATACCACAGAGGTCCGGACTACACTGAATGTAGAGCTCCAGGTGATCAGAGCACCTGCCTCATATGGAATGACAAAGAGCTCTGGCACCAAGGATTGCATGGCTGGACACTTCCTGCGACCATATTCCAGGAAATGGCTCGCTGCCAGGAGCCCTCCTCACCACCGCCATCTGCTGACTCACCTGCCCATCCTTCCTGGATTAAAGGGGTTGAGAAGTTATCAACGATGGCAAGTGAGGAGGAGAGAATGGGCAACATCTGACACCAGATTTTTGGGCAGAGCGAGAAGATACAGCAGTGGGCATCAAGGTACTCAGGAGCAAGCTGGATGCCTCAAGGGACTGGGGATGCACATGGACTGTAGACTGCTGAGAGCACCATGCCCAAAGTCCTCTTCTCCCTGACCAAAAAATCCTGCAGCCAGCATTGCAGGGAAGGGAAATGGCACCTCTTCTCCACCTAGTGAAGCTCTATGTAAAGTATGAAATGCCACATGGATTTAATGGTGGATTTCTCAGACTGAGAAAAGAACAACAAGAAAATGGTGCATCTCAGGAGCCCCTTCACATATTTCTCACTACACAACGATACTTAAACATCCTGCTTAATCAAGCTGCAAGCTTATATAATAGCAAAATGGGGATGCATCCATGTTTGTTACCTTCTTGGGAAGCCATGGCAATGTTCACAATGTCAGTGACATTTGGGGTCAGCTTGGCAAAGAAGGGAATCTGAACAGCTTGCCTTACCCAGCGACAGATGTTGCGCACCAGCTCTGGATCCTGTTCAAATAGGTCAGATAAATACAGTGCTTAATTAAAAGTAATGTGATCAAAACTTTCCAACAATCTGCTGCACTGTGGTTTGCTGAAATTATACTTCAAGGCTTTGCTTTGCCTCATTATCTTAAGCTGTGTCTGCATTTCTCTGTCTCACTCCAAGCCAGTGAGGAAAAAAATGATACTTAAAAATAAATGTGGGAAGGCAGGCAGCGTGATGGAGAATTTTTCAAGCTGTCGCTATGGTCTATCACTATGCCATAGGGATTGCAATGTTACCATTTTTTAGATATATTGTTTTGATTCTTTGATCTGTCTTATCTTTGTTCTATTCACATCCCAACATCTGCCTATGTATGTAATATATACAGATGCTGCAAATAAATAGATTAAAAAATAAACAGGGATCCTCCTGCTGAGAGGTTCAAAGCAGTGTAGATCACTCTGCCTGGGGAAAATCAGGCACACAGACCAGAGCTGGGCCATTCCCCCCCACCCCCAGCTGCCAAACACCAACAAGCAAACTAATCCTGTGATCTCTGTGGAGATCCTCAGGACCAAATCTGTGTTACTTCTAGAAATGGAATAACTGCACTGGCTTACTCTCCCTTGGCCCACACACTTTTACAAGCAATAAAAGAGCTTCTTTTTGTTCAGGCATTTGGGAAAGGTGGTGGGACAGAGCCCAGCTCACTACCAACTGGCTCCACAGCTTGGTGGTACCAAGCGTGAAGGCCTTCCCTTCTTCAGTGGGGCCACCATGGGACAAGAGGCAGTGTCCCTGCCTGTATCCTTTCTCGCCTGTTACGCAAGGAAGGCAACCGGCAAAGAGGAGAGCTCCCCTGTGCATGAAGGCTCTCCAGGACACACAGATTTTCTGGTTTTATGGCTTGCATGGAAAGTCTTCACAGGGATAGAAGCTTCTTTTCTCCAGGATGCTGTTTTTAATGGGTGCAGGATAATGGATGTGAAACAGAAAAGTGATACGCCTGGAGCATTGCTTCCCATGCCCTAGTCAGATACTGAAAGCCAGAGCAAAGAGGGGGTGACTGACCAGTCTCATGATTCATGTAGGAAATGATTCTGAGAATGCATGGATTAACAGATTAATAGGGAATTAATTGATTAATAGTAGCAGGTTAACAGGTGTCACACTAGCCAATGAGTACACTAAAGAGCACTTGGATAGTTGGACTTGCTCTTCCAATGGGACTTTATTTATTTTTTGTCAAAACGATGTGGCAAGTTAAATGCCTTTAATTCATAAACAGGCAACCCATGGCTACAGGCCACACGTGGCCCCCTGGCTTCATGCTCTAGAGATTGCTGGCGTCTTGAGTAGCCCCAGCTTGCTTCCCCCTGTGTCTCCTGGATCTCTCAACTTTAAAGTCCACCCGCCATCCCATCCCATCAAAATTCCCCATCCCTGCACATTGAGATGTGGGCGGGAGGGGAAAGTATGGAAAGATGAATAGTCACAAATGAAGGTGATAATGATGAGCATCCTTTTTCTTCCTGGCATTACTAATCCATGCCAGAAAAATACATAATGCAAAAAGAATACACTTCAGGCAGAGACATCCCACACCAAACTGAAAGAAAAACCTAGCACATTTTCACCTACTCAAACTATTTATGTTTTAGATATTCTTTAGACAACTGGAAGCCTGTGGGAGAGGTTCATACTTTTAACACCACTGCATCTACCTCTATTTCCCAAGCATTAGCAAATCCTAATTTTGCTAAATTATGCTTACAGTGTGAAGGAGGTGATCAAAATTATGAAATTCTACACCTATCACTGTAGGTGTGCAAGTGCTTTTTAACAACGCAGCCATATTCTTAATTGAAATTCTATTTTCACACCTAACATCAACAAGTAGAGCCCATGAGAAGTTGCTGAAATTCCAGGGTCCCAGGGTCCTACATGGATAGCAGATGGCAGTAAGCTGCCATCTTACATTTCCCACAATGCAACACTCTGCGGTATTGCAAAAAATTTAAAATGGTGTTTTAGGGAAGTCCCAAATACAATGAGGAACCCACCAACACAGGAAATTGACGATGGATGGACCTTACTGAAGGTTCTCTCAAGTGTCAGGACATATTCCTGTTTAATATATAATCTGCCCTGTTGCAAGCAGGTCAACCCATCTGAGGGAAATATACTTCTGGCCCAAAGACCACCTTCTTGTGAACAAAGTGGTCCTAAGAAGATGTCATTTGAAGATGTTAGAGAAGATGTTATATGTAAATGGCTAGAACTGATTCACACAAATACCAAGCTGACAGTGAGGTATTAAACTACTCTTCCACCCACACCTCCTCCAAATATCTCCAAAGCAGTGATTTTTGAGAGGTCAAAAGGTTTTCTGGAATGTACATCTCTGAAGAACAGTTCAGGATAATAAAAAGCTAAATGGAGGAGAAAAAAACTGGCTCACACTGTTTAAAGATAGAGATAGAAATCTCCAATCCCTTACTCCCCTTATGGGATAGCTATCTTTTAGATGACAATCAGTTATCTGTTCTCTTGATAATGGCTTTGTAAGTAATATTCTTTGACTTCCAAACCTAGAACAGACTTCAACTTTATGAATTTGTAATAGGCTTCCTGCTGTCGTGACAGCTACTGATGGTGCCTTGATAAATTACGCTATAATTAGGGGAAAAATCCCTTTTCCATTATTATCATGATCTTAAGAGAGCAATCCTAAGAGATCATCTAGGGGACCACAGGATAAGGTAGATTCTCAGATATAAGTTGGGAAACAGAGCTCCAACCTCAGAGCTGAGCATCCACACTCCATTCTGCCTCCCACTCACCCTCCGAAGTGGGGCAAAAGGGGACCTCCAAGGGTGGGAAGTTGAGGGGGCTGGGGCTGCCAAGGAACTGGGTAGCCTGCTAGTGCTCTAGCTTTCATCTCTCCCCCTCTGAGACACCTCAATTAGATGGCCTAAATGGCCCACCTAACCGAAATGCAAGGCAGGAGCAGCCGGGAGCTGAAGACTGCCAGTGCTGCTCCTGCCACTGTGCACTGGAACCCCTGATGGGACTGAAGCCTTAATGAGTCAAGAAGTTTTTAGGGCAATATTACCCTCTTATTCCAAAACCAAACCATCAAAGCAAATAGCCTAGTTACCAGCCAGCATTGGTGGCTGCTGCCTATTGGTAGGGCTGAGTGTGCAATTGCCACCAGCAGCCGAAGCCAAACTAGTTCTGGGTTTGCTCCACCCTTTCCCCTTGCAAGGAAACCAACAATGTTTAAGGATTGCAGTACAGTCCCTTCACTTTTGACATCCAACCAGACTTAAGAATAGTCTCCAACAGGCAGTGGAGTAGTGGTAAAATCTGAAGAGCAAGAGCTCATTCATAGCTCAAATGCAGGCAGTGTTAACACTATGGAAGAGCCACGGATACAGCCTAGACCAGTGATGGCAAATCTTTTAGAGACCAAGTGACCAAACTACAATCCAAACCCCACTTATTTATCACGAAGTGCCAACACTGCAACAAAACCTGAAAACTAAGGTTTCAATTTAGAAAAAACAATATCCTTGGCAGCGCACTGACTGGCCATGCAAAAGCTCGGATGAGTCGTGGCTAATGAGTCATGGGTCGTGACATCATCGCCTGGCGCCGCTACTCCTTTCCGAGCATGTGCATGGCCCCTATGTACACTATTATCCGATGCTCAGCTGCTGGGGTGATACTGGCGTGACTTGGCTCATGTGCCCACAGAGAGGGCTCTGCGTGCCCCGAGACATACGTGCCACTGGTTCACCACCACTGGCCTAACCCTACCCTGGCGCACTCCCCTATCCCTAATACATGGCTAAAGTTCCATTGAAAAGAGAGCGATTTTGAAAAAGTAATGCTAACCCTACCCTGGTGCACACCCCTATCCCTAATACATGGCTAAAGTTCCATTGAAAAGAGAGCGATTTTGAAAAAGTAATGCTAACCCTACCCTGGTGCACACCCCTAACCCTAATATAGGGCAAAAGTTCCATAGAAAAGAGCGTGATTTTGAAAGAGCCTTCCTTGAGTAGTCTTTTCTGCACTGCTCATCATTTCTGCCCATTCTAAACACACTCCAACCATCAAAACCATGCCAGGACACCACGTTTGTGTAACCCTCACCCAGTGATGGTGAACCTTTTAGAGACCGAGTGCCCAAACTGCAACCCAAAACCCACTTAAAACTGAGGTTTTAGTTTAGAAAAACACCTCTCAGCCAGTGCAAGTAAAACTACCTATATTCTTGGCAGCGCACCCACTGGTCCTGCAAAAGCTCGGACAAGTTGCGGCTGATGAGTCGCGGCTCTTGACATCATCGCCTGGCACTGCTGCTCCTTTCCGAGCATGGGCGCTGTTATCCAATGCTCCTACGTGCGCTGCTATCCAATGCTCAGCTGCTGGGGCGATGCTGGGGCGACTCGGCTCGCGTGCTGACAGAGGGGCTTCTGCTGCCCACTGCGGCACATGTGCCACAGTTCACCACCGCTGGCCTAGACAGTTTGCATCTCCTGGGAGAAACCAGGCACAAGTTAAGAGCAGCGTCCTGTGTTTCTGGCCTGAGGACAGGGACACCACAAGCTGGGTGAGCTCTGTGGAAAAGCCTGCTTTAAAATCAAATGTAAAGCTGACTTGAGAAAGCAGAGTCTGCTTGGCCATACTAGCCTCAAAACAGGTTGCTGTGTGCACCGTCTCCACCTCTTTCTTGCCTTCTGTCTCTGTGTGTTAAATTGGACATACCAAAGCGTGGCTGTTAGGAAAATTCATTCTTCCCCTTAGTTACTGTGAAGACTGCAGTTAAGCTCAAAGGGAAAAGAGATGTTTGAAACGGTGGCAGATTACATCATCGGCTCTGCCGATCAAAAAGATCTAGGGCTTTGGCTTGTGAATCCTGGCTCCACTACCCACTGGCAAGCGACTTCTCTGCTTTCAGGGATGATTATGTGGGGGCAAACAGGTGTGCCCAGGCCTCCCACTCAATCTT